GGGGGGGGGGGGGGAAAGCATAGGGAAGCCACTACTGCTGCTGGAGGCTGTTGCTGCCAGGGCCTCTGGGACCCTCCACAAGGCCACTGCTGCTGCTGGGGACTGAGCTCATGTCATCTACCAATGGCTCCTGGGAACTTTCCCAGTCACCTAGTATGGACCTTCATGTGAGGGGTCTGGTGACGCAGTCTGTACAATGGGTTTGGAGGGTCTAAGCCCTAGCCCTGACAATACAACTGGAAACTTAGTGTCTAAAATAATGAAACGTTTTGTCTCTAGTTATGAATTGCCTAACCCAGCAACTGGCATAGTTGTGTACGTTTACAGACCTGTAGTCTTTCTCTCAACTTCTACAGAGGAGAGGCCCTCGAGCAACTAAGACATGTGTCACCGCGTAAAAGTGGATACGACTGACTTCAAGTCCACACGGAAATGCTCACCATTCATCAGGGAAGATGGGCAGTTTCTGAACCAGTGAGTGACTGGAAAAAACCTAGGTATTTCATTCATTTACAACTCAGCACTTTCAAAGAAGCAGAGGCCGAGGCACACCCCGGGAGGAACAATTCCTTACCACATTCCACAGGCAGATTGTCAAGGCTTAATCAGCTTTCACTGCAATTAAACTCTCTCCACCTGAAGGACCGAGCTTACATAAGGAGGTAGGAGCAGGCTTGTAATTGGCCTTAAATTAAGTGGTAATGGGGATAATGAGGAGCTTTTAAAAATACATCTCGGGGCTGGCCAGTTAGCTCAGTTGGTTAGAACGTGTGGCGCTGGTAATAACGTCCCTGGAATTCAGTCCCTGTCCTGGCCAGCCACCACCCCTGCCCACCCCACCGGCAAAAAAAATAACGATGATAATGTTTCCACATTTGAACACATATTCAAATATATAACATGGAAACTTGTTGGCTTTTAAAAACATGTCTCCAAAATGGCAAATAGCCTCCATATTCTGATTGTATTTTCCTATCAGTCACTTTTTTAACAGCAGCGTGCTCTGCTTAAGCAAAACAGTGGTGAAGAAAAGGACAGAAGACACCCCCAAATTCTGAAAATGTGGTTCTTACAGCCCATCAGTGTGGAAGCCACAAGGTGAACCTAGCAAGTGACAAGGAGAATTAATTCGCAAGAAGGAAGAAAAACTATTTAGTGCTGCTCCTAAAGCCAACTGTGGGTGCTTACGGGGCAGGGCAGGTGTCTTCTCTGCAGGGTGTGCTGTCCCTGAGGCTCTGACAGTTCTGTCTAGGATAAGACTTGCTGTAGATCACCTTCCTTGCACAATGACCGCCCTTCATTCCATTATTTCCAAGCTCAGCCAGAGATAATATCTTTTGGCAAAATAGGAAAATATTCCTACTACCTTGCTTGCACATATGTAATATTAATTATTTCCTCAGAACTAACATCAGGGAGGCTCACCACATCCTTTCATTATGAGCTTCCTGGAGACTATTTACAGTCAGAGTAGCACTGATGGGGCGGGGTTGACTCAACATGGCAGCTCTTTGGACCATCAACAATAACATCACTAGCATTAACGTTATGCACCCTGATTAACACCCCATCCAACAATGAAGGCGATTTCAAGAAATAGGAGAATATAAAATAAAAAAATTGATCTCAAAGTAGGACGTTCAGCCACTGACTTTACAACCACACGGAAACTTTATTATAACATAATTATTACAACCTTATAATTAAGGTGGTCTGATAGACATTTAATTATTTGAAGAGCAACAATTTAAGTAGAAAATATGCTGAGAGTTCTCAAAAGAAAGTTGTGAGCAAGGATACAAGAGGGGAATCCATTATCGTGTGTAGCAGTTTCACATTTTCTTAAATGAAATAAAAGTTACCAGCCAAATGTGCTCCCTTGTACATTACCTCAACTCCTGGAAGTTGAGTCATGCCCAGCCCTCACTGATTACAGTGACCCCCTGCGGGATGAGGGAACCTTAGCCTGGACTGCAAACAGCCACAGCTGACCTCAGCTCGGCACACGGCAACAGTCTGGCTGTCCTTCAGAAACAATGTAACCTTTAATGGTAGCTGGAGGTGGGGAGCAGGTAAAATTGGATTTTTTTTTCCCCTTCTTTCATATAATTTGAAGATCACAGAATGTGGCTTTTAAAGGTCAGAATGAACTGCTAATTAAGTTGAGGCATTTGAAATTAGCAAATAAAATTCCTCCTTGGACTAAAGAATAATTAATCAAATGGAGAAAAAATGGCAGCAAAGTAGAGTGGCAGTGAAGTTATCTTTTAACTAGTTACACAGAGCCTCTGGATGATGTTACCAAGGTGCTGCCACATATTAACTCCATTTCTTTCTCTTTAGGCTACATCCTTTAAAGAAAATAATGCTCAACCCCTTTCTATGAAGATCCAAATCAAGGCAGATGTTGGTCTGCACAGCCTGTCTGCAGGTGTTGAGAAGTGTGTGGACTAGCCCTGGCTTCCTTTATCTTTCACTCAACATGTGAGGGACGCATGGGTTACATCATCACCGGCATTACCTTAAATCTTCTTATGGTACAAACTGTGGCATTTTAACAATTATAATACAAAGTTACTTAATATACTCTTTCAGTTAATGCTGACTCCCCCTTTTGAGACTGACTGTTTCAAAGCATTTTAGTCTTGCTCCTAAAATGCTCTCTGTTTCCCTGGGTGCTATATTTGCCTGTCCCGGGTTAGATGCTCTTAAGCTACCCTGAGACTCTCAGGATTTTATTTCACATCAAGGTTTTTATATATAATTTAAAGCCAAATTTATAAACATGAATTTTTGCAATGAAATATCCAGAGAGTTGATCTGACATGCATATCTTAAGCTAAAAAACAAATTAAGGCCCCATTTATACAGAGATTTATATTTTTAAGCACTTTATTTATTAATTAGCTAATCCATACCACAAACCTGTGAGGTAGTTTAGCATGCCGTTAGTAGGAATAAATTAGGTGAGAGCCAGAAAAACAAAATCTGTCCCTATTATAATATGTTGATTGGCATCTTTTTATTCTGGTCACAAAAGAAAAACAATCAATTCCTTGTCCAATTTGGTCAAATGAACAGTGAATATTTAGCTTGGACAGCATGTGGAGAATAGAGTTGTTTTGTTACCTGGCAGTTTAGAAGGGTCATTTTCTTATTGGGTTGTAACGTTCTGCATTCACGCTGACCTGTCAGAAGTACGTCACTCAAAAGATCAGCTTTGGAAGATGTATCAGCCCACTCCCTCCGAAGTCTCCCCTTTCCCTGTGGGAGTGATAACACCTCTCACACTTCTCATATTTTGGACCAGTTGTCCTGACGAAGCTACTCCAACAGAAAGGTGCAAAGACTCTTGTGGTTCCAATCTATGTTTATATGTTGTCTAAGAGGCAAATGGAAAACCAACCCTATTGGTCTTTGTAGTCCAGCAATTGCAGATGAGAGTTTTATTTCTACTTTTATCAGCAGAAGGAACCACTGCAGTGCTCTCTACTTAGCAGATTGCTTTATGGCCATATTTATGAGTCCACCGGTCTCCCTGGGCTGCGGAGACTGGACATAATGAAAGTGCAGTAACTGGAGTTTCACCACCTGATACCTGCAGCTCTCGCACAGGTGCCAGCCTGAAGCTGATCTCTGCACCAAAGAAGAGAAACTTTTTGCAAAGTAAATGGACTGCATGACCAGGACTGTAGGAGTGCTGTATCCCTTTAAAAAGAAAGACTACTTCAACCACTTAGCAGCTATCCTTTTAAATACCAATAATTTCGCTCTGACAGAAGGAGTCCATTAGGCTTCTGTGTTATGTTAATTTTTAATGATTCTTTTCCTCATTTCAACAAAACTTCAAATAGGCAGTATAGATAACGTAACTACAAGTACTCTGGAAGAGTAAAAGTACTTTGAATACTGACAATTTGGATAGTTTCACTCTTTCACATAGGTAGGGTTCTCCCTGAGTTCCCCTGAATTGAGATTTTACAGATTCTCATCCCCCCCTCCCCCCAATCTCTGCTGCAGTCCGGTGGCTCTGCCAGAGCAGTTCCAGGGCTGAGGGGCCACCCACCAGGGACACAGCCAGGTCTGCATGGTCTCTTTCCTCTCCGCCAGAGCTGATTTTCTCATTTGAAAACATTTACCTTATATCCCACTCCCACCTGCTCATAATGAAACTGGAAGGTAAGATATGACATAATTAAACAAACATAGCCATACCAAACCAAACCAAGAAGAATAACGACCAAAAGCTGGCTTCCCGGATAGGGTGCTTCCACTCAAGAATTCCCAGACACAAACAGTGCTTGCCGCCCGTCCTGCACAAAGTCCAGCACCTCGTCTCCATTGCACACTGGAACAATGATGCCCTCATTTGTGTGGGCAAAAATAAACAAAGAAATTTGAAAACAAACAAACAAATCCTCTGGCAAGGTATTCACTTTCACTTGACAGGTTGCCAAGGAACAACAGTATTTAGATGAGGAATTCTGAGATAATCTGATTATTATAGCTGGAAGCTTTTCTATAAAGGGTTTGGCATATTCTCTCTGTAAAGCAAAAGGTTACGTTCATAGGCTTTTAACTTGTTAAAACAAACAAAGACACAACACTTTAGGGCATGAGCTCACTAAACACAAAGTTTTTTTTTTTTTTTTTTTTTTAACTTGGACATTGCTTATTTTACAGCAGAATTGACAAATAAGCCTTATTTTACACATTTGAAGAAAAACCATCAATAGAGGTTAGTGTGCTTTCCAAACCAGCAAAGTAGACTCCTTTCCAACCAACCTTCCTTCCTCTCCAGGGGAGTAAGGCTGGTGTGGCTGCTCCTCTGGGCAGCACGGGGAGCTCAGCCAGGTCCTTCCTGAGTAGCCCTCCTCAAACGACTGTGCCAGATCCCAAACACAGGACATCAGGCACGTTAACAACATCACTGTGCACTTCTGTGTCATTTTGTTTATTGCTCACTGAGCCACAACCACATCAGCTCTCTGTGGAAAACAACTGATGTCCAGAAAATCCTAATACCAGGAGATCAATCACCTGTGGTTGTGGTCACAAGGTACAAATGACAGCCTCAGCCAGATCCCAGCAGGAGCCCTGACAGCATCATGAACAGAAACTCAACATCTGGCCGTGCAGCCACCTGCAAGATACCAAGTCCAGTCACCATGGAGAAGAATGGAACCCAGAGAAGGGCTCTCTGAGCTGCCGTCAGAGACGTTCCTCGGGAACAGAGGGTCCCAGTTTTCCGTCTGGCACACTGTCAGCGGTGCACTTTCCCAAGGGATTGGCTCTTGGCTCAGCATCAGGAGATCAGTGAGCGACAGAAAAAGGGGGACCTCGCCCCACCCAAGGCCGCCGCTTCTTCACAACCGACTCACTTCTTTCCAAATCGTGAGTCTCCCAAATGAAAGTCCACAGTTCAGGCCAACTTCACAAGAAATATACACTTACTTCCATCGCATTCTGGGATTTATAATTCTTCTTTTGGATGCCCTTGGGAAAATATGTTTCACCAAGGTCAACGGCTGTTAAGACATTTTTGCCTAAGAGGATCATCGTGCAGGCAAACTAATTCTTTTCCTAAGCAGTTACTTGGCAGCTTGCAAAGTTACTTGGCAGCTTGCAAAGAGGACTTGGCTTAACCTTGAGGAGCGGTTTGCTACGTGGTCACGAGAAACAGACGGGGCTCTGCTGCAGTCCCCTCCTCACCTTCAGTGTTCAGACGGCAAACCCGGCTCACGCGCTTGCAGGTGAAATGACAAGAACTGGAACTTGTCCACTGCGTACCTCTCCTGAATGCGACGTGTCCTGGTTCTGTGGAGTTCTGCGTGATGATAAAAGAAGGTGCACTTCTGAATGCAGGTGCTTTTCATCACAGCCATCGAGGGCTTAATAGAATAATTATACTCTGAGGAAACCTAGGATGAACTGGAAATTTAAATTTTTCCGCTGTCTCTAAGTTTGAATAATGCTCCAACTGTTTGCTATAGGATTATAATTTAGAACATGTGCTAAATATGTTATCAGGAAAGAATTAAAAATCCATCCAAATATCATAACTTACCACAAAATTAAAAAAGGAAAAAGAAAGAAAGGAACCTTTCACTTTCCAGAATCAAGATTGGTCATGTGTTAATCTGTGAATCCTTGTAGGAAATGTTCATTGTTCAAGGAAGAATCCTCCACTGGTGGCTGATAAGCAATCCTCCAGGGCAGAGAACAGCAGAGAAATGCTGACGTTTTTCTTCTCTCTTGATTGGTGTTTTCACTACTTACTCTTCAGGCTATAAGAGAGAAGGGACACATCTCACCTTCTTTCATAATCACAGGCTCCAACACCTCTCTCTCCCCTTCCCGCCCCACCCCCATCACTTGAACCATCAAATTCAAATAAAACTGAAATTATATGGTGAATCTTTTAGGTTCTAAATAACCTGTATATATATAACTCAATTACCAATGCCATCTTCATGTATGTAGAAGAAAATTTATGCCTCTGCACTGTCAATCCAGACACTATTTTAAGAGCATTCTGAATGCTCTTAAAATAAAAGTAATCCACTGATCTTTACCTGTGACATGATGCATATACCCATGTCTAAGTTTCAGGTACCCTCTTGTTGGGAGGGAGAACAATATTATAGCATATAGATTTCAAATTAATAGGAGCCATATTCTCTATTCACTCAGAATTTTCTCTTAGATAAGTAGGAGAAAATGTTTCTGGCTTACTCCCATAAGTATTGATTTAAACCAACTGGTAACTAAATTTTAAAGGATTTCTTGTTTCACTGTTTTCTTTATGGTAAGAAGATTCTACCATTTACTGCATGCCACCTAGGTGTCAAGAATTTTACATTTATTTGCCCGTTATAATTTAATCCCCACAACCACCTTTAATGTGTGTGCCATTTCCCCCACTTTACAGGTGAGGACACTTGGCTAAGTTAACGGCACAAGATCATACAGCTGAGAAGGGGTGGAATTTGAACTCTGGAAAAAATGAAAATCAGGAGACAAAAGAGCTTGTTGACCTTATGAGCAGGGATTTATCTCACGCTGGTGAAGATGTGCTCTGGCTGAGATGAGGCCGATGGAGATGTGCGCTTTGTAGTTCACTGTTAACCCTAAAGCTGGGTTTTAGGCAGGGGGTGGTACAGGTGCAGGTGAGAGTCCTTGCATAGAGTCTCCTACCCCTCATTACCGAGACCCAAATGTCTTCGTGGCAATCTGGTAAATGAAAATTCAAAAGCTACAAAGGGAACTTCTATCACTCACCTAGAAACACACAGCATATCCTGAAATTTCATTTTCCGAGAAAAGTGCTGCCATAGAATATTCTTAGGATCTGAATAAGAATTCGAATGTCGTTGGTATAATGCAGGCCAAAAGAATACGAAGACTATACGCATTTTGTCGTAAAAAGAGCTGTATAATTTTGTCATAGAATGACCCTGGAAACCACAGCCACTTTCTAATAGTTGTTATAGGAAGAAAAATCCTGTTTTAAAATCTCATATTCAGTTTCTGCCACCGTCCGATCACGACCTAAGGAAATTCTATAGTCGCGGTCGTCTTCTTGAATTGATTCTGCATGAAGGCTGGAAGTCCTCACTGAGTAAACAGGTATGATTTCATTTCTATAAACTGCAAAGATGAGCAATTTTCAAATTAAAATGAGTTTGAAGTGCAGTATCCCCATGTAATAGGAAGAAGACCGAAGACGCCCACAGACGAGCCGTCTCCAGTCATGACTGCATCGTCAGAGGCCATACGAGAGGGTTGTTATTTTGTTTGTTTGTTTGTTTAATTTATAGTGAAAGTGGTACATTAAGAACTTAATCTCATAATGAGGCAAAATATCACATTCTTCCTTTTTATAGTCAGCATAATTATTCAGATCCTCTCTGAACACACAGAAGTAATGACGAATTAAAATGCCTTTCAATTCCATATAGCTTTTATAAATATTCATCCATTACTGTTATTATGCTGGAAAGGCTCCTTCATATTTTAGTCAGCATCCCATCTGATACAAAAGAACATGGGAAATTTTACTGCTATTAATAAGTATGCAGCCATCCAATCCAAGAAAAAATTCTTTTTCATCTGAGAGATAAGCTGCATAATTCATGTATTTTCAGAAATTTCTTTAAATAGAAAATTGAAGAAAGGCACAAGGAAAAAAGAATTCATTGCATAGTTTTCATTTCTGGTTAGGGGCAGTCTTTGTTCTCGGGGAGTCTTGAATTTGATTCGATTTGAAGAGACAATTTTGATTGCATCCACATTCACTGGTCCTACTCATATAGCTCACCCTATTTTTGAAATACAAAACCTGATGACAACATGGCCTCTGTTTCACATTTGCTACCTTTCTAAAAAAAAAATGTACCTGGAAGTTAACAGGAACTTTTAATGGGGTCTTGGAATGCACTTAGAAAAATCTAGAACAATTAGGAATGGGTAGCTTCACATTCCAAAAACAGAAGTTTCCATGTCAGGGAACTGTGGGACTACCTCTAACTTCTGTGAAGTGCAGTCCGCATTGGCACTCCTGCCATGCAGAGGAGGTGACAGCCTTCCAGGACAAGCCAGGTGAAGATCACATCTGCAGGACTAGTTACACACAAAATGCTTCTGCTCTGTCCACTACTGCCCCTTTCCCCAATATGACCCAGAAATTCCAGAAGAGGGGGATGCTCTGGCTTCGGTATAGACAGAAGTCTGAACGTAGATTGTAAAGGACCACTGAAAATGACCAGAAAATGTGCTCAATCTTCATATTATCAAGGTAAGAGATGGGGTGGAGAAAGCAGTTTGATCAAGTGTGTTTAAAGGAGGTGGCTAGAGAAAAATTTAATGATTTATTTGTCCCACACTGAATTTAAACCATTCAAAACACCAGCTAAAAAACAAAGCAGAACCCCCTCGGCCATTATAAGGCCTAGCTTCTGAGAGCCAGGTAGCAAGTTTAGAGTGACAAGAAAAGCACAGTGGTGGGCCACAGCTCGTGAGATGACAGGGCCAGGACGTCTCAAGTGAGGAGGAGCTGGTTCCAGGCATTCTCACAAACATGTTGCTGAACAGCCATGGCTTTGACCTTGTTCAACCTGCTGCCTGAGAAGTGAACGACACCCAGAACTCAACGTTTTGTCGATTCATTACGATGTACAATCATGAACCAAATTAAATCATATTTCCAAAACTGAACTCCTCCACATTTCCGTCCTTCCTCTTTCTGTGTTCCCTGACTTGGCAAATGATATTAAACACTGAAATTCAGAGCTGTCTCTGGCTGGTTCCTTTTTCTCCCTCTGCCCGTAATGTCAGTCACAAAGCTTATTGGCCTCTCACTTCACTCTCAAAGACTCCTCTGCACCTGCCCCTGCCCACTCCAAGCCCCAGGCATTGCAATAGTTTTCTATCTGGCCTCTCTGCAGCCAGTTCTGCTGCTTCGCCACACAGGTGCTGCCCTAGAGAAAATACAAATGTCTTAGTATAGTGCACAGAGGTCACTGGTGATAGGGCCGCTGCCTTCCCCGCCAGTCCCTGTTTTGTGAGCTTCCCCTGTGATCACGCCAAGCCTCCATGATTTCAGAGGATGACCTGAGGCTCCCCAACATGCCATGCTCCCTCATGTTGCTACAGTTTGCACGGGCTGTTCCTTCTGCCTGGACACATCCCTCCCCGCTTCACTTGCCCAGCTCCTTCCCTCTCTCTCAGTGGAAGCATGCTTCCTCCAGATATCCTTTCCTGAATCGACCCTGACACAAACAAAACGTATTTGGAATATTCCGAGCAGCCACTTGAAAGTGGGGAACAAAATCTCACAACAATGCCCAAACTACAGGAGGAGATCCATAAACTGCTGTGCTTAAGCCAAGAGATGCAATATGTTTGCTTCTGAGAGGGCGAATGTCAGGGGAATGAGGGGGGACAGAGAAAGAGAATGTGGGAGCATGGGATGAGGCATGGAGAGATGGAACCAGGGCGATGGCTTTGTACTGTGCACAGTGCTGTCTCTGTATGACACCCAAGTCTTCAGTACAGGTGCCAAAGCAAATAAAATACTTGTGAAGTGTTAATTTTTAGTGGAAGTCTGTGTGATCTGACTGATGTGGGGAGTGAGTAGAAGAGGCACTCAGATTTATAGGAGGAAAGACGCAGAGAGACCATAAGACATTGGGAGTTAGAAGGACTCTGGATCTGAACAGGTTACAGTTGTTGGGTAGTCCTGAAATGATTCAAGGGACCAAAGTGGGATGGGGTTTAGCTGGCATCTGTGACATCTGATAAACACAAGATAAATGTACCTAAATCCTTCTGGAAAAAAACAAATTCCATATATTTATAACCCATGGGATAAAAAAATAATTTAAGAAAATTCAAGCTAATTCAGACAAAAGTCAGGTATTGCAAATATACAAGAAATTATAAATATTCAAAAGTATAGAATATTTAAAATAAATGCAGCTCTATTACTTCCTAATGCACATTGACTAGCAAAATTGACAAAAACAATTTGTAATTAACTTACCAAACACCTAAGAAAACAAGTCTCCTCTGCTTATATAGAATCTGTATTGTTTATATGCAAATAAGTGCTCCCGATGTGTTTCAGAACAGTTTATTCCCTTAAGAAGGCAAATATTCTCTTTACAATCTTGTTCACACTATTCATTTGCTTTGCAAAACAGTTTTAGTAAAGTCACAAAATAATGAAATGTTAGAGCTAGAAGGGAGCCCAGGGATCATCTACGGAAGTCCAATATCATCATTTTACAGCTGAGAAAACTCAACGGTGCCCTACTGCACACACAACAGGCATGCTTGCTGCTCCTGAGGCTGCTCCCTCACACCTAGAGCCCTGTTGTTCGAGCGGTTCCACTCCTCTGACTTTGGGGATGCTAGCCACAGCTGAGGCCGATGCAATGGAGCAAGGGACCTGCACAGCGCCAGGTTTGGGGGCGTCACTGAGATCCAACAGCCTCCTAGACTGCAGTGACAGAGCACAGTACCCCTCCCGTTCGCTTCAGAACTGGAAGCCTGGTTAATCCCTGTTTGTTTCTAAGCCTCGGTTCCTGCATTCTCTCCCCCAGCCTACCCAACTCCCTCTTCTCTCCGCCCTTTGCTAGCTGGGTGCCAGTTCTAATGCTGTCCTCTACTGTTTCAGTAACCATGTCATACTGCAATGTTTCATCTACTGTCTGTGTCCCCTTCATTGAGGTGACTCCCTCTTCTCTCCTCCCTTTGCTAGCTGGGTGCCAGTTCTAATGCTGTC